GGGGGGTTAACTGCACAGCTTTGGAAGTTTTTGCCTCTTCGATCTCCGAGGAGATGCCCAATCCATCATTCATTGCGCTAGCAGCTTCCTTCCTACCTCGATAGTCTGAGAGTACCTTCCATCTGCCAGCATTGATTACCCTGGAAACCAGGGATTGACTGCGCAGATGGTAAAGGAAAAGAGAATGATGTTTGAGGATGACACTGAGAATGTGTAGCTAGTGTCCCACCTAGGGGGGCAGCGGGGGATAACACCTTGATCAGTTTGGAATGATAGCCAGGGAAAGAGGATGAGGCGGGAATGGGTCCGGGAATTCAGACGGGGGTCGCATTAGAAAGGAAGGCTCAATATTAACCCAGTCGTTAAAGGCTAACTTGTAATCTCTAGAGGGACCCTGTTCTGTCAATGCAATTCGGTCCCCCCCCCCCATTCCACCCGTGCTATCCCCCCCGTTGTCCCCCTAGCCAGCCAATCTGTGCAGAAGGAAGTAATTGCCTTCTTAATATCCCGGTCGGTCTGAAAGATGTCTAGCTGGGCCTCGAGTTTGCGCCACCTTTGTGTTAGCTCCAGCTCGATGAGCTCTTTAAACTGTCCTGTCAGTTCGGGGCCCTCTACCCTGACCCCTTCCAGAGCAACACCCATAGGATCGTCCATCTTCCTAGTCTGTACCAATTGTTCTCAAAAGTGGATGCTTGTGCGATTGCAGAGCAGTGACCTACCAGTATGGCCTGCCAGGACCATGGCCAAAGCGTTTCAGATCCCATTTTTCGCCAGATGTGATCCCACCAACGCCACGTTAGCAATGCGACAGGGCATTGCATGAAAATGTGTTCGATAGTCTCGTTTCGCTTTTGCGAGGGGTAGGCTGCGACACATCTCTGGCACCACGGAAGCACTGCCCCTTTTTGTTCCTAGCGAGTGTGGTCTATCAACCAGGCATTTGTTGGCAGGCAGCGGTGGGCGATCTGCCACTGCAAGGCTCTGATTTTGGCCGGTCTCACCTTGGCCTCACTGAACCATTGAATTGGTGCCAAGAGGGTTTTGTCAACGTTCAGGTGCTTGGCCCACCTGTCTATAACCACCTGTCGAAGCACTCTCTTAGGCCGGAGCATCTTATATGTGGACCTAACTGATAGGGAGTGCAAGTGGATCTGTTTGTTGGAAAAGGACCCAGGTCTTTGTGTTATTCTCCACTGCCACTCCTAAGGGTCCATGGCCAACTCATGGATGGGTGTCTGTGGCTGAAAAGCCGTGGCCTCTTTCCCCTCCCCTAATACCCGTATCATGAACACATCCAAGTTGTCCCGCCATTCGAAAGGGTTAGTAGAGCCCCGAAGCTGGTTCCTTGCGTTTATTGTGTAATATTCGGTCAGCACATCTGCAGGACGCACAGTATGGATTCTTCCTATCCTGCTAGGGTCGTCCTGAAAAGCCACCCAATCCCCTTCCTGGAATCTAGGTTCCCTTTTAAGCAGCCTGCACCAGACAAGCTGTATTGCTTCTGTAATCAACTGTAAATAACTCTCTATGTGGTGACAATACTGCAGGGAACCCGCAGCTGCGCTGCTGTCTTCCAGTCTTTCCTTTCCTGATCCAATAAATGGCCGACCCGTACCACTCCTTGCTTCCCCCACCCCATCCATGGAGCTGCTGAACTGCATAGAACCTGGCCATGGTGGGGAGCAATCCAGCGGTTACTAAAAAGGGGTTGGCGGTACACCTCTTCCCAAGCAGTCCGGTGCTGGTCTGTTAGGGAGGGGAAGCTGGCTCCGATTTTCCAAGATCGTGGGCCAAACTTCTGCTACTGGCTGGCCCTGTGTTCTTGGTGGGACCGACCAATAGCGGTCCTCTAACCACGTGAGGGGGTCCACCTCTGGCGGGGCGGACGAGGCTAATCGTGCAATGTGCTCAAGCGCCAATGTCCTCCATGGGCTTCTAGTGTTGAGGATCAGCATCTTCAGCCATTTGAGTCAGTGGGCCTGAACCTGCGTTGGAGGATCTATAATACCGAGACCCCCCACCCTCTTTGGTTGTATAACTGATTCCCACGCCACCCGACTCATCACATTTGCCCGCTCGTCATTACCCCGCTATAAAAAAGTTGCCGCCTTGGCCTTGAGGGCTTTGACGGTCGTCTTGCTTAATGGCCATAAAACTGATTTGTACCACAATGTAGCAAACACCACGTTGTTAATTGTCAGTGCCCTGCCAAAAACGGAGGTGTGCTTATTTCGCCAAGCGGTCAGTTTGACCAAGGCTGGTGTACTAATCCAGCTATCATTAGACGGTGGGCAACCATGGGCTGTCATGGTGACTCCCAAAACGCGGACCGTAGCCTCCTAAGGGAACCAATGGACTGGGGACATCTGGCGGGTGCCCCCGTTAATGGTGAATCCTCCATCCTTGCGTTTTGCTTCCCCAATTTACCACCATGTCAGACACTTCCGCAAACTTGTCCATCAATCGTCTAATTTCCACCATATTTTGACGTGTAGCATCCACCATAATGATGAGGTCGTCCGCAGTCAGCGAACATACTGGGACGGCCTCCACAGGGATCCGTATGATGCGAAGTCTTGTAATATCCTTGTTAGTACAAACATTGGCAAACAAGGCCTCCATAATAATGAGGAAAAGAAAGTGGGCGATTGGGTCACCTTGGCGTACCGATCGCTCCAATTGGATTGGCGGGGCCAAGGATCCATTTATCTGCACCCTCGTGGTTGCATTGCGGTGGAGAATGCCTATCCACCTGCGAAAGTCTGGCCCAAAGTTCATTTTTTCCAGGCATTTGTCTAGGAACAGCCAATCGACATGGTCGTAGGCCTTCTCAAAATCGATAAATATGAGGGCGGCATTGTGCTTGGATTGTCGGGTTAATTGGATGACCTCATGGATTAGCAAGATATTTTCCTAGATTTGTCGTTGCTGCATGAATCTTGTCTGTGAGGGTTGCATTATATCCTCTAAAGACGGGATCATCCGATTTGCCAACGCTTTAGCTAACATGTTATAGACCACAGTAAGGAGGGTGATCGGTCTATAGTTCCTGATGTTAAACTTCTCCCCTTTCAATGAGGAAATATTTAGTTAAAGTACTAAAGTTGCTTATCAAAACTGAGCGACACGGCCACTTAAATCTCGAAGCCAATCGTGATCTAAAAAGTACCCTTGTTGGTAAACCGAAGAATAAAAAAGGATGGATTACTGAAGAATCAAAAAGGATGGATTGGATGTTATCATACACACCTACGATGTCAAAAAAATGTTCTCTAAGATTCCTCAGGATGAGGTGAGAAAGGCAGTAACATGGATTTTTGATAAACAGAGAAACAAACGAAGGTGTTGGTTTTGGTTAAAGACTCAAGGACACGAGGCTGTCCCTGGGAAATCTGCAGGCGAGAAAGGGTGGAAATCAGAAGATCATCGTTTTTTTTTCTACCAAATCCTGGTTGTATCGAAGCATCCTGTATTTCAGCAGATAAAGATTGAAGTAATACTGAGTGATCTTGAACTACTTACCTCCCTTTCACTGGATAATTTTTTCTTCCAGTCTGGGGGGAATCTGTTGAAGCAGAACAAGGGTATGCCAATGGGAGGACAGGCTAGCCCATCCCTCACATCCCTTGTCTGCATGTATGCAGAGAATCGTTTTTTGAAATCGCTCGGGAAAGAAAAGAAGTGCTTATTTGGAAAAAGATATGTTGACAACTTACTACTTTTGGGGTTCTTTAAAACCGGTGATAGTAAAGACAAGGCAAGAACCATATCACAGTTGAACTAGATCATGGGATGTTATAATAAAGAATTCCGTCTCGAGAGAACTGACAGCAACTTCATCATCGTCGATTTTCTTGAGACTCGAATTTTTGCGTTGAACTACCCTACGGAGGTCATTTCCATGCACAAGTTTCAGAACGGGGAAAGCATATGGATCAACCCGAAGGCACCCAGGTTCATGGTCACAAGGTGGTACCAGTCATTCAGATCGAGAGAACAGAAATTCGCGAGTACAATTAGGACCTTACACAGGGTGGTCAGCAACACGAGCATCGACGCGTTGCTGCCACTGGGACTAATGACACATCACCTCGAACACAAGGGGGTGGGTTTTCCCACGGAGACAGTCCTTTCCGCTTTTTGAAAGTTCGCAAAAAGGATTGGGCGAAGGGTTTTGACTGATCTAGTCGAGAGGCTCATCAGATGGTACAGGGAACACGACGGGTAGGTTGCTGGCATCTCCTAAGATAAAGAGAGAGAAAAAAAACCGTGTGAGTGAGCTAGAGAAGCAAAAAATGGGCCGCACGCAAAGAAGGCCTGCGCCGGCGACCAGGACCAAGGGTCTAACGAAAAGGATTGGGGAACCGTTGTGGATCTGAGTCAGATCTGGGCGGGCGATTGCCTGCACCATACTTGTCGGAGTTGTATCCTAGTGAGTGCTTTTTTAAATTTTTTCTCTGGACTGTTTATTTCAAATTATTTGTTATTATTTTTTGTTGTTGTTATTTTGTCCATTTTGGACAGATTACGTCCGGCTGGGCACTCTAGGTCAGGGCTGCTTGACTTATCATGCTTTTGCATGCAAACGTGTTTTTGGGTTTCCCGTCGACTGGGAACTGGTACCAGGGACTGGAGTCATTTTTTTGTGAAAGTGGAAGTAGTATTTATAGAGCGAGCGGATGCCTCGCCGATCAGACTGAGTAGCATAGGGGAAGGTGGTCTGGAGCATGAGTTCTCTTTCCATGCTGTGTGATGATGCAGTTATGCTGCGACATTAAATCTCAACTGCATTGTTTCTTTAAGTTAATCTCCCTGCTTAGGTTACTCCCTGAAGTTGACGACTCCCCACAAATCCCGTGAAAGGAAAACACAGCTTATCGGGCAGGTGAAAAAAAAAAACCAAAAAAAAAAAGAACTTATTGGAGGTTAGGCTAGCTTTACTCTCAACGTGTGAAAGCAGTGACTGACTGTGACAACTTCTGCTGCTTCTTGTGATACAGGGCTTGTGCGCTCCTCAGAACAAGGGCCCTAATGTGTTTTACGATATGCTTGGCCAGTGAGGAAGGAAAGGTGGTTGTGTTCTCTCATCTGGGTTCAGGAAACAGCATGAGACATGATGGCAAGAGGATGTGGGGAACAGGAATTCATAATTGGTGCTGAACGGGGGACGGCAGGGGAGGGCGGAAGAGAGGGTTGAGGCAAGGGTGTGGGAGGGCGTTTCTCTTTTCCTTCTCGTTTATTAGAAAGAGCTGCCAAAATGTCAGACCAAGCTGGTGCAGGTAGTCTGACTGCTTTACCCATAGATAAGTAATAAGATAGTGGCATCTGGATGAAGGGGAGATGTCATGAGATGCAATGGCAAGAGGATTGTCGGGGACAGGGGTAGGGGCTGTGGAGGGGGGTCGGGGGGGGGGGNGGGGGGGGGGGGGGGGGGGGGGTGTCAGGGTGGAGAGAAGGCAGGCAGGAGGACATGGGTAGGGGGTGAGGAGAGGGTGTGTGCGAGGGTACGCTCAGATGGAAGGAGATAATCGAGCGGCCATTGGACGAAGTTCCACCACACTTTGGAAAACCGTCTTCTACAACTCTTTGTTGGAAAGTTGACAGCCTTGATCGAATGCTTGTCCAGTCAATGATTGTGACGAGAGTCCTGAAGGCCTGCACCGTGGTCTGCCGGTGCAGCTCCCCACCAATAGATCGGAGCCATCAACACCTCCGTGAGATCTCGCCTTGGGGGGTGAAATCCCGCTTTTGGGGGAGAGATGCTGCTTTTGGGGGTTGCTCGTATCATTTCTGTAGCAGGCTTCACCAGAGTGATGTGTCTTACACCACCAGTACTTCTGAAAGTCGTGGCGCTCTGGGCCAAATGGGCACGGTCCAAATTCATTCAAGAACTGGCATTTAGTTAAAATTGGCATTTTTACTAGGCTACCAGAGGGGCCGGGAACTACTTGCCCGGGTGGGCCAAAAAAAAGCAAAAATAAAAAAAATAAAAAAATATATTTTTCTATTTTATGTTGTATTTAAATCTGGTAAAGAATTTTTATTTTATTTTTCCCCCGTATAGTAGCAGTTTTTTCTTTTTTTTAACGAAGTATTCCCATTATGCAAAATTGCCGGGAACCGGGCCTGGCGTCCCTTACAAATTTTCACAGCCCCGGGCTCACTCCCGGCTACTGCGGCCGGGTGCGGACCAAGGCTGCAGGAACAGAACCAAACCTCAGCCCTTCAGGGCAATACAAAGAGCAGGAGCAATACAGGAACAAAAACGCCAACCAGTAACCCTATCCTACTGAGCTGTACTAAGCGCCAGGGAGGAAGTGACAACTGCAACCCTAGACAAGCGTTCGGCCGACAGTGCTTCCAAAGAACAGCCCAAATACAGCTGCTAAAAATACGGAGTAAAGCCCTAGAAAATCAATATCGAAAGTTGGATGCTTCGTATGAGATTACTGTACATACAAGGAACCAGACAGTTATACACACACGGGGTCCATTTAAACACCCCAGAAAAACAACACCATACTCACAGTGCCTACTCATAAAGCCGAACCAGAATAAGAGGGAAAAAAAAAAAAAAAAAAACGAAAACGGAATCGGTCCCCTATTCATCTGCAATTGTAGCCAACCTTGCAAAACTGCAAACCGCCCTGCCACCTGCGTGGCAGGGGACTGTGCCTACAGACCCCCGCAAAACCCACCCGCCTGCTCGTGATTCAGAGCGGATTGCACCACCAATTAACCCCTTACGCACCATGACCAAAAACAGCAACTCCCACCATGATGATGTTGTTGCAAACCAGTAGAATTACCCTACCACCTGCGTGGCAGGGGCCGAGGCCCCGCAAACCCACCCACCTCCTCGCGATATAGGGTAACCCACTCCCCCAATCTGTGTCACGCTGTATACGGATGCCTCTATGCCCTCCATGAAGAGGGCCCTGCAGAGTGACGCTCACCAATCCATGTCAACAAAATCGAGTGATAGCAGAACCTGAAAGTACTGATAAGAAGACAGACGCCTATTACATCTTCAGCAATCAGCAGAGATGCCCTACCTCCCGCGCGGCAGGGGTCAAAGAACCCGCTAAACCCACCCACCTCCTCGCGATTTAGGGCAGTCTGCTCACCAATCTCCGTCAACCCCGTATGAAACCCCACCGCCCACTATAATGGGGTTTCTGCAGAGCTACGGTTACTTGTACGTCTCTCAGCATCTCAAAACAAAAAGAAAAGGAACAATTAGGATGTCACGTAATAAGCAAAATTGCAATTGGTGATCCTCGCCAAACTGCATGGGACCCTATAGTTTTTTGTGTGGTCGTTTCTCCATCGCTAGCACCTGGGGAGAGGCTCCATCTATCGGTGGGGAGCATCACCTGCTGGAAAGTGGGTCCAGCGTCCCATTTACATACTGAATTCAGAGCACATTAGAGAACAATTGAGAGAGGTTCCTGCCAGCATTGATTGCCCTGGAAACCAGGGGATTGACTGAGAAGGGCCTGAAAGGGAGGAAAACCCCTTCACCCAGAACCAGGCGCCAGATATTTGCAGCTACACACGAGTTCCTCCCTTCCTCTATCAGACCCAGTCCCAGCTGTCAATTTCTTATATTGTCTGATAATGACCGGATTTAGAGTACTTTAGAGAACCAGTTGAGGGAGATTCCTGTGAGCATTGATTGCCTTGAAAGGCATGAAAAAGGGGATAAAGGAGGGGGGGGCGGGGGGGGGAGAAACTCTCTGCCCAGGACCGGGTGCCCAATACTTGCTGCAACACGCTAATTCCTCCCTGCCTCTATCATCCCCAGTCCCTAGATACATATACCAGACCCCTTCCTACCCTCTCTTCCTTTCTCCCTGCTCCCCGTTCCTCTCTAGCTCCCGTACCATCTCAAATCCACCAGACTATTGGTGGGGGGTAGGGAAGGGGTCAGGGAAATCATCCGTTGTTCTCATTGGAATTGAGGAGTCCACCTTGGTCCAATCATGGAAATACAGCCGATAGTCTTTACTCAACCCTTCCTCTTCTTGATTCCTCCCTGTGTTCCTTTCATCTTCCCCCCCATTTTTCCCCCGAGCCATCTTGTGCAGAAGTCCTGCACTTTTTGGTCTGTGTCATGTTGTGTATGTGTGTGGCGGATTTGGGCTTTGACATCTTCCCAATGAGTTGCTATCGCTGTTTGGATTTGTTGTTGTATGGTTTCAGTGAATTCAGGGCCTTCCAGTCTCACCCTGTCCATTTCGTATGTACAACGACGTCAGACTCTCCAAAGCGCCCATAACAACACTTCCCTACGTCCCAATTTAAAGATGTTGTGGGTGAAGTCGTCCACCTGCTCTGCAGGCCATGTTTCTAGTAGCAATGCTTTCCAATCCCATGGCCAGGGTGTCGTTACTTCAAGCTGGTCCCAGATCCGGTCCCACCAGCGCCCGAGCCAGATTGCTCCAGGACATTGCAAGAAGATATGTTTTATTGTTTTTGGCCTTTTTCTGGATGGGAAGGAATCAGAGCAAAGTTTGCACCATGGCACGGCCCGCCCACTTTGTTCCAAAGATGTCCTGCCTATTAACCAGTCATTCGGTGGTAGACAACGATGTTCTACCTGCCATTGGAGGGAGGCCAGTTTCGCCGGTTTCATCTTAACTAGTTGGAACCATTTGACTCTCCGAAGTGATTCCTTACTAATGTTCAGGTGCTTCATCCATCTAGCCTCCACTTGGTCCCGTAGATTAGTCACGGGATGGAGTGACTGTTATTCTGTGTAATTTTCTGATACATGTCTTTCCCCTTCCGGAGGGAACAATCCATGTCCACTCCATTGGGTCTAGACGCAGTTGAGTGATCGGAGTACTTGGGAGGAAGGTCATCCATTTATTTCCATTTTCCAGCACTCTGATTCTTGACAGTTCCTTTTTTTGGAAAAATTTTGTTTGTGCTGGCACGGGTCTAAGTAAAATGTTGTCATTGCCCAAATTAAATATATCAACTACTACCGGTCCTTCGGAGCTGCAACACACCACATTGCCCACCTCTCCCTAACTGCTCGAGATTTGCACCGAGTCGGATTCCTGGAGAACGGGTTCTTTTCTTAGAATTTTCCACCAGCTCAAGGGGATCCGTTCTATTATGTCCTCAAGTGCGGCTTTCGATCTATGGCTATATCTCAGTTTTGCTTGAGAAGATCCCGATCGATCCAGTCCATTGTGGTTGTGTCCCAAATATCATTTATTCCGAGGACTCCCCTTTTCACTCATGCCCGCCAGGGCGAATCCATACAGTGAAGGACCCGTCCCCTGGTATCAACTATTCTCCTGTTTTCAAAAAGGGGCTGTCATAATACCTCCTCCCATCTCCCCGGGTTGGATTTATCAGGCAGTGGGAGGTTCCTCCATGTCCTTAGAAGGGATGGCCAGAAGGAGTCATTTCGCAGATCCTCTCTCGCCAACTTCCTTGGGGAGGTCGGGTTCTGTTGGTTGGGGTGCCCTCTCGGTATTGACCAACCTCTATTTTCTAGCCATGTTAGAGGGTTGATGTTTGATGTTGTTTTGGGGGCCAGCCGTGCAATTTGTTCCAGGGTCAGTCCCTTCCACAGGATGTCAGGGCAAAACAACATTGTAGCGCCAAAGCTTTAGTTTGTATTGTTGCGTCAATTATGCCCAGGTCTCCTTTGGCTTTTGGTTGGGTTATGGATTGTCATGCAATCCTATTGACCGCCTTGTGTTTTTCGTGGTCTCCCCTCCATAAGAATGCGGTTATGTGTCGTTGCAGTGGGCGAAAGGTTGTTTTATCTAGAGCTCAGATGATCGATCTGTACCGTAGGGAGGCAAGCACCACGTTATTTATCACCAAGGAGCGCCCCATCAATGAAGTGTGTTTGTCCTTCCATTGTATCAATTTTTCCAATGGTGATTTGAGCAGTCGTTCGTTATTCGTTGATGGTCTACCATTTGCTGTTAGTGAGATCCCAAGGATCCGGATGGGAGCCTCGTTGGGTACCCATTAACCCGTGGCTGCTCTGTTGGCCTAACTCCTTGATCATGAATCCATCATCCGAGGGTTTTATTCCCCTAGTCGACTCTCATGTCTGAGAGTGCGCAAACTTTTTCCATCATGTGTTGTACTTCAGCTATCGACGCGTGTGACGCGTCCACCATCAGGGTCAGGTCATCAGCGAAGAATGAGAATACCGGTATTGCTTCCTCTGGATTGAAGCGACTTGGGTTCTCTTTATGTCTTTATGTGTTCTTAAGTTCGTCGCTAGGGCTTCCATTACTATCACAATAAAAACGGTGCTATCGGGTCTCCTTGACGAACGGATCTCAAGAGAGATGGGTGGTGCAAGGTTCCCATTGACCATAACTGTAGTTGTAGCGTTTTTATGTAGTATTTCCACCCAATGCCTGAAATGAGGTCCAAAATTTAATTTTTCCAGGCATTTATCCAGAAAGGTCCAGTCAACGTGGTCATAGGTTTTTTCAAAGTGAATCAGAATGCCGCATTGTGTTTAGATTGTCGTGCAAGTTTAATCATCTCATTGACCAAGAGGATATTATCCTGGATATTCCTGCCCTTTATGAATCCGGTCTGGTTAGGGTGGATAATATCCTCCATTACCTTAGTCATGCGATTGACCAGTGTCTTTGCCACCATCTTTTATACTACTGTGAGGAGGGTGATGGGTCTATAGTTCCTAATATTTGAGCTTGTTCCTTTTTTGTATAGCAATGTCACGACCCCTTGACCTACAAACTCTCCCATCTGACCCGTCTCCCACAGTGCTCAGTAGTAGTCCATAAATTTCGGGGAGGTGATCCCCCACATCGATTTCCAATTTCGTTGGCAGACCGTTAATGGCCAGGGAATTTTCCTCTTCCATGAGCATTAATGTTGTCCATATCTCCTCCTTTTTTAGGGGCATCTCGAA